CAAGCAAAAACGCACAGCTGTCTTATTTCTCTTCTTCCACTCCAAACAACCCCCCCCACCCTCTCTCTCTCTCTATCTGTGTGTGTGTGTGTGTGTGTGTGTGTGTGTGTGTGTGTGTGAGCCTGTAAATCTCAGGTCGGTGGGGCAAGACGGTGGGCCGGTTGACAGCACACAACAAAATGAAGCGGCACATGTTAGAGTCCCTCCTTGGACAATGCAGCGTCCCCCCTACACCCCCGCCCTCTCTCTCTCTCTCTCTCTCTCTCTCTCTCTCTCTCTCTCTCTCTCTCTCTCTCTCTCCCTCCTTTGCCCTTTTCTGTCCGTCAAACTTGGATCGATATAGAGAAGATTACCATGTGCCCTGTGGGGATGACACGCCAGAATTCGTGCTCTTCCTCGTCATACACTTCTTCTTCATGCTTTTCCTCGCTTTTCTCTCTCTCTCTCTCTCTCTCTCTCTCTCTCTCTCTCTCTCTCACACACACACACACAGACACACAAACACACACACACACACACACACAACACACAACACACAACACACACACACAAAAAAAAAAGAGAAACACACACCCCAACCTTTGACTTGACTGAGGGAAAAAGGAACGTGCAAAGCAAAAAGTTTTTTTTTTCGACTTGACGCATCTTGCTTGCAGACATCAGCAAAAAGTGGCAATCAGCTCACAAACACCGCAATTCGTTAAAAGTGGCTCAGGATTGGGTAAAATTTACGCGCCTGCTCCCTCCCTTGGATGTCGAATCGCATGGCCATGGCCATGGCCGTCGAGCCGGCGATGTTCCATTCACTTGTTTTCTGCCCAATCAACTTTCGATGGTAGGATGGAGGCCTACCATGCCATGGTGGTCACGGCTAACGGAGAATTAGGGCACCGGATCATCTTTTGTTTTCAACTTGTGATTCTTCTCGTCCTCCCCCTCCTCCTCCTCCTCCTCCTCCTCCCTCCGCCTCCTTCCTCCTCTCTTCTCTCCTCCTGTCCTGGCACGCCAGTTGTTTTATTGTCCCCATCATCCACCTCCTCCTCCTCCTCCTCTTTTCTCCTCGCCTCCCCTCGTCCTCCTCCCTCCTCGCCCCCCTCCCCCCTCCCTCCTTTCGCCTCCCGTAATGTGCCACGTGGCACATCGGCATGCATTTTTTTGGTTATTGTTCTGGTCCTTATCATCATCCTCCCTCCTTATCCTCCTCCTCCCCTCTCCACTCATCCTTCTCCCTCCTCCTTACTCCTCTTCCTCCTCTTCCTCCACCTCCTCCCTCCCCCTTCCTCCTATCCCCTGCTGTCGTGAGCCATGTGGCACGCCGGCAGATGTCGCCCAAGAAGTGGAATTGCATATTGGCTGTCAGAACCAACGCGAAGCGGAAAAAGAAAAAAAGCAATACGAGAGAGAAATCAAAAATAGACGTGCGCAGCCCTCCGGGACATCCGTTAAAACTGGAACGACACAGAGATGATTACCATGCCCCCTGCGCAAGGATGACACTCATATATCGAGAAATGGTCGATGTGGCTGCTACGGGGTTCCCCGTAATACTATAGTGACAATAAAAAAGGCCTGAAAGGCCGTCCTGTCCAGATTCGACAGGTAATTGAATTGGTTGGGCTTAAGGAATT